GCCCCCATGAGCGGGAAGCTGACGACGTTCCTGTGGCCTGGCACGGGAGGCATTGTGGATGACACGATTGTCACGAGGATCGGTGAGGATGAGTACTATGTCGTGACGAACGGCGCCTGTCTTGACAAGGACACCAAGTACATTGACGAGGAGCTGGGCAAGTTTGGCGGCGATGTGCAGTGGACGCGGCTGGATGGGTCGGGACTGGTTGCCCTGCAAGGTCCTCAGGCTGCGGAGATTCTGAGCGAGGTGCTTGCTACCGACATCAACCTCAAGGAGTTTTACTTTGGAAACACCGTCCAGGCGCAGCTCAAGCTCGCGGACGGCAGCAAGACGCACCCCGTCCTCATCAGCCGCGGCGGCTACACCGGCGAGGACGGCTTCGAGATCTCCTTCAACGGCAAGCTGTACCCCGCGTCGGAGAGCACCGTCAAGGCCGTCGAGTCCCTCATCAAGGCCGCCGGCCCGGAGCGCCTCCAGATGGCCGGCCTGGGCGCCCGCGACTCGCTCCGCCTCGAGGCGGGCATGTGCCTCTACGGCCACGACCTGGACGACACCACGACGCCCGTCGAGGCGGGCCTCAGCTGGATCATCCCGCCCGAGCGGCGCAAGGCCGGCGGCTTCCACGGCGCAGAGGTCATCCTGCCGCAGCTGACGCCCAAGTCCAAGGGCGGCGCCGGCGTCGAGCGCAGGCGCGTGGGCTTCGTCGTGCAGGGGGCGCCCGCGCGGGAGGGCGCGGAGATTCAAAACAAGGACGGCGACAAGGTTGGCGTGATTACGAGCGGCGTGCCGAGCCCGACGCTGGGCAAGAACATTGCCATGGGGTACATCAAGGACGGGCTGCACAAGGCGGGCACCGAGGTGGATGTTGTTGTGCGCGGGAGGAAGAGGCCGGCTGTGGTGACCAAGATGCCGTTTACGCCTGCCAAGTACTGGAAGGCGCCGGCTTAAAAGCTGTGTTCGCCGTTCTCTCGGTTCTCTTTTTTGTCGTTTTTGATTGAGATTGTTTTTTTGGTTGGGTTTTATCATAACGGGATGGTAGCGGGTTTGGTCACTTAACGTTTTTACATGGAGGGATGGAGGGGATGGATACTTCAACGTGTTTCATATGGCGGGTTTACAAAAAGGAATGGGAGTCTTCAGACAGACTTCCAGTGTTCCAAGATGAGTTGCTCGATAGAGTGTTTGCTGAGTTGGAGAGACGGCCTGGGGGATGAATACTGTCATGTATGCCGATGACGAGCAAACACTGAAGGCTTTTCCCTCCTGGGCGACTTGTATGTGAAAGGCATCCGTATGAACAACGGCTGCATCGGACACCTTGATAATCTGCTTTCCCCCGTGGGACCAAAAACAAGGGCCCCTATACTAGGTTCTCAGCGCGGCAGAGGCAAGACTCGTCGGGCCACGCCAATGGTATCGTAGCAGTCTTTGCAGATATTGCCAGCTTTCACACGCCATGCCGTGTATCATGTGCCTTTGGAGGTTGGAATAGTTCTGCATTTCGTATCATTCTCCCAGGGGCCAATAGTATAGCGATGTGACTTCTTGCTTGCTTCAGTACCATCTGGCATCACCATGATCACTTCATCAACATTGTGACACCAGACTCCCGGTTTCAATAAGAGGGTATCATTTTCAGTGTCATCTCTCCCTCAGTAATTGCCGTTTGGTGTCTCTCGACGTAAGAGTGCTACTAGCAGCTCCATTTGGCCCCTTCGTCTGGACTTGGGTGCTGACTCGAACTGATCGAAATCTGGGTGGACCTCGTCTTCGCAGACCAGTACCCTTCTCTTGAAGATGGAAAGTCCGCTCGGTAGTGCGGTCGACAGAGGGAAGGAGTGGTCGACACCGCCTATATAGCGGCGTGAGGGGTTGTACTCTAGGCGTCATAACTTACATAGCTTCTACATTCAATCCAATTGCGTATTGCTTCCTACGTTCAACAGGTGATGAGCCCGGGCGCACTACCTAGGCTTGTTGATGGCGCATTCCATCACGGACCAAGTGCCATATTGTCGACAAGCAAGGCATGCTCCTCCTGTTCCGCAAGAGTCACGTTGGCGCGGCCTGCTTGTGATAAGCCTTGACAGCCTGGATGCCATTTTGATATTGACTATGGTGGCGAATGGTTGGGCTAGGAACAGAGTGCTCTCGACAGAGGTATGCTTTAAGGCGACTCTCGATAATTCGGAGAGGCGGGATGTTGACGCCAGGGCGAAAATAAGTTGACAGTGTGATTTTCTTGTCGACGGTGGACGGGGCACAGAACATGTCAGACGGATAGAAATGTCAGGAGGTCGTCGAGCAATGTAGGGCGGTTCTAAGAGCTTGAAAGACTGCGATGAAAAAAGAAGAAGAGAAAAGAAGGAAGAAAAGCGAGCGCGAGGAAGGAATTTATACACAGGCAGAAAGATTCTGCCGGGTGGTGAGCGCTCGTCACTGGCACTCGACCTGATATGGCTTTTGCTATATCC